CTGAGTTTGATTTTTAATGATGTGCAGCTTTGTTTTTTCCTTTTTTATTGTAATTTGACATTTCCCCTCCCCCCCATTTTTGCCGTATTCCAGTAAGACATGGATCTTTAAAACCTTTTAATGAAATGTTTTACAGACAGAAATGTAAATAAATGACTTGTGAACACATGACGAAGAAGAAGAACAGTCGAAGAGCGTACAGGGATCGGTTTATTCCAAGAAACTAATCTTTTTACACGGTGGTGGGATGAAATGAGGAATAAATAGATGCACTTTTGTTCTGAAAGCTTTTTTCTTTTCCTTTCTTTAACTGGAAATGTACAGTTAGAAGCCGAATACAGCAGAACGTCTCTCCGTAGTTGCTACGCTAGCTACCTGCATAAGGACTTTAAACTTTTTTTTTCTTTCGTGGTCCGACAACGAAAAACGCTCCGTGAAAAGACGCCGTGACGTGTGGACGAGTCTGAACGGATAAAAAAAAAACATGTCAAAGTTACAGTACTGCTGAGCTGCAGGTCCGATCCTCCGTCTGGCAGTTTGAAAGGAAACATGCATCGTCACTACAGTAACACTCGAGAAAACCAAAAGAGTAAAATGAGTAAAAAATAAACATTCATCTTCAAAACGACATTTTTGTTTTTTTCCCTCTAAATAAAAGAAAACCGACATTTAATTTCATCTCCTGCAATAATTACATATTTATAGAAGCCGATTTGCATTTAGTGGTTCAGTAGATTCTCCTTTGCTTTATTCAACCTTCTTTTTAATCCATCCAAGAGCTCCAAAGGCACAGTCCATGAACGCTCCTTTGAACGACAAATACTGAAGAGAGGAGGAGGGGATCTAGATTTAAATATGTAGACAAATTAAAACATTTACACAGACAAGGCGACGGACTGGCCAACACCTGCTTCGTCTCTTTCGTGAGTTTACTTTTTTTTTTTTTTTTTTTTGTGCCAGAAAAAAAAACAAAAAAGAAAACAAAAAAATTTGAAGGAGAAAAGATTTAAAAATCCCGAACAGAAGAAGGAACCGTCAGCGGCTCCGGTCTTCAGAAGAGTCGTGCTCCGTAGCCAAAAGTCTGTTTGATAGCCCCGAAGTAGTATCTCTTCCAGCCCTCTTTCGTCTGCTCCTCCTCGCTGTCCGGGACGCCTCGACACTCCACCTTCAGCTCCGTCTCGCTGCTCCGGTCCAGGAAGGTCATCGTGATGGTCGCGTAATGCTCTGAGGTGCAACAAAAAACAGCCGGAGTTTAGTGTCGGTGTGCAGAAAACGACACTGAATAAATTAAGTTTATATGCAAACTCGTAGCTGCTAGTCTGGCGTTGAATGTTAATAACTGTAAGTAACGTACCACAGGGCCAGTTGTTATACCTCCACTTCATTACTATTTTCTCATCGGGGACCTGGTGGAGAGAGAGACGGGTCATTCTTTATGTGAAGGTAAAGAAGGTGCAAGAAATCCAACGGTTTATATGCATGAACATAATCCTCAAAGGTTCGACGTCGGACTCACCAGCTCCATAAATTCACCAAAAACGTTTCCTTCTAGCAGACGGAACTTCCCTCCTCGTTCTCCGTCCACCGTGGCCGGACCGTGTGTGAACGCCTGAACCATCTGTGTCCAGTGACGAGATAAAAAACGTGACAATTAAAGAATATCAGCGGCCACATGAAGCAAACTCAGACCTCATAGTGGACGTCGGTGAACCTGAGGGCTGGAATATGAAGCGAGATCAGCAGATACGCTTCAGCGTTTTCACATAAAAGACGGCATTTAACTCATCACGTGACTCTTCTTCTG